GTTAATCTCTCTCTCTCTCTCTCTCTCTCTCTCTCTCTCTCTCTCTCTCTCTCTCTCTCTCTCTCTCTCTCTCTTGTTAACTTCCGTGTACCTCCGCTTCACTGTCGCTGAACCGTTGGCAAGTCATCAACTCTCCTTCTCGTCTGATCGCTTCTCCCCTTTCTGTTTTTCTGATCCCCCTGATGTCACTCCCCACCCCAATTCTCTTCTCCAGATCCTTTGTTGCCAAGTCTATCTTGCTTCCTTCCTTACCTCCCTTGTTTGGCTGCTGTTATGCATCCTCTCCGTTTCACGTGTGAGCTCTCCACTTGCTCGTTCATAACCTATCTTCATCCCTGTAATCGAGTTCCAATCAACGCTGCTTTGGATCGCATCGGCCGCCGCGTTCGGTTTTGTCAATGTGCCCTCTCTCCTGTCGCATGTTGAATCTCCCGTTCGTCCTCCCTAGCAGCCTGTGTGCTTTCCGGCTTAGTGCGACAGCACCGATCACACCTTTGCCCCCCAGTTTCTGGCTCCTTCCTTACCAGCCCCGTTTCCTCTCTGCTTTCGAATGATGGAGTGACACTCACCATCATCTCACAGGTTGAGAATCCCTCCTACGGTGTGACGTTTTCCACACATTGCACCCGTTCATTGTCTTCAACGTGTCCGCTTTTTATGTCACAAGAGCACCCGATTACCATTAGGCTCGAGGTGGAAGACACCCCTTTTCCGTTTCAAGCAATCAGCTGAATCGAGCTATGGCAGGCTGAAGTCTCACCCTCACATCGGCTACTCGACATTCAACACCTAGGCTATTCCGGTGCCAACGTCTTCAGTCACTTCGATGATATTGAAGCCTAAGCTCCCATGACCGTCAGGCCACGCTGGACGGTACCTGGACCGCACGCTCACATTTCCTTTGTTTGACGGTACCAGGACCGCACGCTCGCATTTCCATTGCTTGTGATCTACTGTGACTGGAGGGGTCTAGTTGATGACCAAGGTATGGGGACGGATGGTGGCCGTGTGCTGTTGATGACAGAGGCTAGAGAACCTCCAAATGATATACAACTAACAACGACCAGAACAACAGCAGTACAAGCACAAGCGACTGGCGAGGGGTCTAGCTGATGACCGAGGTAAGGGGGGGGATGCTGGTCATACATCTACTTATGACAGAAAAAAAAAAAAAAAAAAAAAGTATCTCTAGATCATAGTAACAACACGACCAGAGCAACCGATAATGGCTGTCCTAGGTGGGTATACCTGGGTTGCTCAGGGGGTGTCATAGGTTAGACATTGGCTAGGAGGGCCTATTAGACACTGTCTGTGATATGTAAGATGTGCATGAATGGATCCATAACCGGCAGAGCCTGGGTAAGTTTGGGGACCAATAATGGTCTAACCATGGAGCCTGTAGCGAGAAGGCTACGCCTAACGCCTGAAATACCCATATGACAGGACTCATCTGGGCATAGACTCGGCACCCCGCTATACAGCACCCTTCGGGCTGAGCTCTTTCACCACCATCATTTTTTTTGCACCAAAGTAGGCACACTCAACATTTTGCAACAAGTAGCCAGCCGCCTGTGGCCAAGCGTATTACCCACGGCCAGATGTACAAGACTGGGTGCCCTAAAAATTCTGCAGTTCCAGGACTTTGGCCCCTGTTCGGGCCTCCAGTCACAAGGTAGGACCGGTCCTACACATTTCAAAGGTACCTGTTCTGGCAGCAATAGCTGTCAGTCCTCTGCAAAAACACGTATGCGTAGGACCAGTCCCCGCACAACTTCCACCCCAATTATACCCCCTTTCGAGTGGTTGCCCACTCTGAAAATTTGCACCACCTTCACAGAAGCAGCAACCCACACCCATGAGCTGTTGCAATGCCGACTTGAGTTTTCTAAGTCGTGGTGAACTCCAAGAATGAAATTATTCTGAAACAGCTCTTTCGTTTGGACGCTGTGTTCGCGTCTTCGAATTTTCTGAGTCATGCATTCCTTTCTGTGAATTCTCTGAGTCATGAGCGTGTTTAATTCAATGCTTTCAATGCTTTCGGGGCTACCAGACCCAAATGGCTGACAGCGCCAACCAAAACAAGGAAAAAGTGTGGCGCTTCCGAAGCACGCAGTTTTTTTCCACCTCAGCAAAAGGAGGGCCCAGAGGTAGGAGTCACAGCCCCAGCCTTGTGGACATCTGTTCATGGCCTAAGC